TTGGAAATAAAAAAAAGTTTCAAAAAAGCATTTATGATACTTTCTGTACTATTACATGCAATTTATTTAAATTAGTGACATGGTCTCTTTAACCTCCCTGGCGGTCTGATTATGTCAATATTTTTGAATGTCAAAGCAGTACATTGTTTTGCATGGAAATTTGTTGTTTTATATTGTAGGCCTGTAATTCTTAGGAATAACTCGCTTAAATCTGTCCAAACAAGAGTCTAGCAAACATTCCATTTTTTCAATAACCTCATCGGTCAGAAATAATTGTGAGTATGCCAAAGGGTTGTCATGTTCAACGTCTACTCTCATACCAGATGCTCCAGTAAATGGGAATCTTGGGGGCGCTGCCTGATCCGTACCACAGTCAATAGAGCACCAAGTTCATGTATAAAAAAGTGCAGCGCTAAAATCACAATGAAAAAGTAAATGTATCAAGTGGAACGGTAAAGTGCGACACATAAATATATATATAAAAAACTTGCGAATATATTAGACAAGAAATCAGCAAACAGAAAGGAAATTATGTCCATGAGCAAAAGTGATGATAAATGCACTACAAGTGCAATTAAAATAATCAATAAATAGTAAATTTACTGATATTCCCGGTTGCACATAGGTAATTCATGCAATATTAAAATTATAAGTCCAAAAAGAAATTGAGTTCAAAAAGTGTCCATAGATTTATAAAGTGCAGTATTCTAAAGTGCAGGATGTGAACGTGAAATTAATCACACAGGGGAATCCACCACCTCGGTCAGATGTACACTCACCAGAAGGTTAATGATAACAGGCATATAGGTATATCACATCTGGAGGTGAAGAGGCAGCCAGGGGGTTAAACGAACTGCTCCATCAGAGGCATAGGTGGAAGAGGAACCTTTGTCCTAGGGGAGATAGCATTCCTTAGATGTGGTGCCTGCATTTGTTTTCTTTAAGGCTGATACACTTGATACATTTTCTTTTTCATTGTGATTTTAGCGCTGCACTTTTTTTATACATATACTTGTGGGGATCGCTACCTATACCTTGTGTGCTAGCTGCTTTATAGTCATCATTAGCGCTTGCTTATATACAATATATTTACAGAGCACCAAGTTCACACATCACTGAGCTCAGTCGCAGAATCGTTGCTGTCGTCACTTTCAGTGTCTGATGGTGAATTTCTCCACGAATCATTATCGCTCAATTCTGCAAGTGATTCTAATTCACTATCTCTGTTTTCTAGCTGCTTTTGACATAAAGGGACGCTTTGTGGATGCCATGGACGTTCTCAAGTTTCCAGGCAGAAAGAATGCTAAAAGTGTAGGCAGGGCACTGGACAAAGCAATAGGAACAAAGCTGAGGTGAAATGGTTTGATACAGTAATCTAATCCTAACAGATTACAATGTATTGTGTGTATGTCATGTTTTGTTTACTTTTTTTAATCTCCCGCCGGTTCCGCCCCCCGGCGTCATGGTGCTCGCAGGGAAGGGAACCCAGAGGACGGATGTCAGCATTGGCCGGAGGACACAGTGGGAGGACATCAGGAGATCGCAGGGACAAGGTAAATTACACTACAGTGTAATCCCGAGTGTGGTTCAGGGTTACTGATTTTGATACTGAAAATTAACCCCAAACCACACTCGGGATTACCGCCAGGGAGGTTAAAGAACCATGGCACTTTGTAAAAAAAGCCTGATAAAGCTTACATTTATTGCTGCCTGTAGCAACCAATCAATTCCAGCTTCAGTGTCATTTTCACAGTATGAATTACAAATCAAAGAAGTTGCAATGGGCAGCAAGAAATGTTACTTTTATCCTACTTTGTATACTGTACATAAGACTTGTAGGGGGTTATTTACTAAAACTGGAAAGTGCAACAATCTGGTGCTATGTATAGAAACCAATCAGCTTCCAGGTTATATTGGCAAAGTTTGATTGAACAAGTTAGAAGCTGATTGACTACCATGCACAGCTGTACCAGTTTCTGAGCGCTCTAGTTTTAGTAAGGCTACTTTCACACTGCTCTGCTGAAAAAACACACTATAATAACATATGCATTTTTGTTGAATTTTTTATGTATTTTTCCCCACTGGACAAAGCACTTCCCACAGGTGCATTGTCTTTTTGATGTGTTTTTGGTGCGGGTTCCATGCATTTCAATGGAGCAATGTGTTTTTTGGTACTTTTTTAAACTGAAGAAACATTTTTTCACCGCAACTGAAATGGAAGAAATTAGTGTCAAGAGGGCCTAGAATTTAAATGGATTCAGTTTTCTTCTGCTTTTTTTAACTGAAGAACGCACCAAAAGCGGATCACTGTGAACACAGTCTTAATCTACCCTGAAGTGTCTCCCCAGAGGAATGTAAATGAAGTTTCAGCAAACTTTATTCATAGCCAGTTTAGTGGCCATTGTATCAAAACAACAACAAAATGATTATTATATATAAATGATCAAAAAGCAAAACAATTTACATAAATATATAATACATATTAATATATAATTTGTCATATACAGTATACTAAATGATTATGTTTCATCTTTTAGGAAATAGGAAATAAATTGTCTAGCTAAATACCAATATAATTTAAAGTTTTGCTAAACCCCAAAACAAAAACTTAATATATTGCAGCTTGTCAGTCATTGGGTGTGGTGGCTATATCATGTTTTTTTTTTCTGCAGGCTGTATTTCCTTAATATGTACCTAGTGATCCTGTCGGTAACAAACTTTCAGTCCTAGGGTAATAACACTGCACTGCATCTATTAAGAAGCATCCTTGTCATCCTAAATTTCTCTCCTGATTAGGACTGCAAACACCTACCCCTCTCCTCATCTACTACATTACACTGAGGAAGTTGTTTTATTGTTTAAAAAACATAGCTTAGAAAGCTGATAACATTGTTTGAAATTTCAGAGTACAGGACAGGATCACAGGATTTGTGACATAACTAACACGTGTTTTTCTGTACTTACAGAAATGGTATGTATCCTAAAAAAGAAAACTAATGCATCCACCACATGATGAGCGCCTGATGACATCAGCACACAAGGACTGGTAGGATGCAATATATATCATTTTTGTTTTTGAGGTTAATATACCTGTATATTTTATTTTGTATTAAAGTAGAACAAAAGGCAAAACAACTTTTTTTTCCACTGGATAGAATAAGGGAGGGTTATAACCATGGTATGTTTTCTTTACGCATTGGAGAGATTTCCGTTTACTTCTTAACCTCCCTGGCGGTATTCCCGAGTGTAGCTCGGGGTAAAGTTTCAGTACCACAAGCGGTAACCCCGAGCTACACTCGGGAATACCATACAGCGCTGCTCCACGATCCCCCGATCACTTACCTTGTCCTGCGCTCCCGCAATGTCCCTCCTGCAGTGTCCCCAGCAATGTAATCCGGCGTATGCCGGCATCTGTCATCTGGATTCCGTCCCCTGCGAGCATCGGGACGTACAGGGGACGGAACGGTGGGAAATTAAAAAATGACACTCACTAAAATCACTAAAATCACATAGTAAAACATTACTGTATCAAACTATTTCACATACATTTTGTCCCGAGTGCTTTGTCCTGTGCCCTGCCTTCATTTTTACTGTTTTTTCTGCCTGGAAACTGAGAAATGTCCATGGCGTCCAGAAAGCGTCCCTTTAGGTCAACAACGGTTTTAGACCAGCTAGAGAACAGCGATAGTAAATCAGAAGCACTTGCAGAATTGAGTGATAATGATTCATGGAGAAATTCGTCATCAGACACTGAAAATTATTTTGCGACTTTGCTCAGTGATGTGCGAACTTGGCGCTCTATTTCAAATTTCATTGTTTTTGGTTTGATTATATTTATTGAATTAAATTTTTATTATTATTATTATTATATTATTATTTTCATGATTATTTATTAAATTATAATTTATGATTTTGTGTTTCAAATGTTATCATACCCGGGATGTTTACTAGACTCTTGTTCGGAGAGATTTCAGTGAGTTATTCCTAAAAATTACAGCCTACAATAAAAAAATACATATTTCCATGCAAAAAAATGGTACCGCTTTCAGCACCAAAAATCTGAAATAATCATACCGCCAGGAAGGTTAATCCATAGTTAAAACAGGAACTGAGATAAAATCCCTCCAAAGTGAAGGAATCCCTCGTGGTTACCAGGGTCACCAGATCTAGCGTCTCCTTTGGAAAATTTCCTGTTCAAAATATGGTATTTTCTTTTTCTTGCACTTTCAGCCATAATAATAAACAGGACAGAGAAGGCGAATATCCCTAATGGGGACACATACAGCAATACCAACCTGACAGGTGTTTAAATCGTTCTCCACTCTATCCAAAACTAAAACAACAATTAACTTTAGTTATACTTTAAGTATACTTGATTTTCAAAAAAACCTTTACAGCGACAGACCAACATGAAAAAGATTTCATACATTTTAAACTGCACCTGTCAGTGTTGTAGAGTAGACTAAGACAATGCAAATTTACCATTTTTAAGTTCCTCTTGAAACTCAAATTTTGCTTGAAATTTTTCTTTCATTTAAATCTCAAAGTCTCTGTAGAGAATTGCTAGAAGTTGCATAGTCAGACCTCGGACTGGACACTGCTGATAGTAAATAAATATAGCCGTGGCCTGCTGGGATTCTTAGTGATAGTGTACCATTATTCCAGACACCGAAAGGCTTGGTGAAAATATGGTGCTATATCTAGTTGGTGATCTGCTGCTTATCCAATCACTGGTTTTCTGCTAAATGCTGAAATCAGGGCTACATTTTGAACAACATACAGCTGCTTGCTCTGTAAAGGTTTCTTTGAAGCAAGTGCATATTCAAAGTCCTTTGGCATCCTTTGACACAAAGTGTTTACATAAGAAGGACCTCAGTCATCTGCGAGAGCAGATTATGTCTGCGTTTTCGTTATTAATGTGATATGTCTTGTGTATGATGGACGTGTAGAGAAAATGCTCAGTTATAAACAGTGGCTTTGTGAAGCTATACAGTACACACCTGAAGCTGCATGTTTGTCTGGGTGAGTTCCTCTGCTTTCTTTTCCAGTGACATCACCCAGACCTTCCTTTTCTGTCTGCACCGCGTGGCAGCTGCTCGGTTCCTTTCCAGAAACTTTCGCCGCCTCTCGTCTGGATCCTCGTCCACCACCCGCCTGCGTCGGCCTCCCGTGGGCTGAGGGGGCTGTATTGTCTGAGTGGGCTGCATTTGCTGTGCTGCTGGTGAGAGCTGGACCAAGAAGAAAAGCTAATTGACTCTCTAGACCACTAAAAACACACATGTGAAATGTGGTGGTGGCAACGTCGGCCAAAAGAAAAACTCAAATGTTATTTAAATAACCACTCTGCATTTCTTAAGCATACACACTGAAAGAAAGATGTCTGTCTGAATCATAAATTAATATATACAGAGGTTTTTTTTCTTTAATTAAAGCAGAAGGGACTGTTGTAATGATAATAGTACTAGGCCACGCTCTTCAAAAGTGCACCTGTCATTTTGCTGAACATGCTGGCATTTAATAGTAGGGAAAATAGACACTGCATTGTTTTTTCTGTCCAATCATGATGATCTTGGTATATATATATATATTTTTTAAAGTGATGGCTAATCCCTACCTTTAATATTCTCAAGCCACCCTCTCATATAATTAGGCCTTACTTCTGTTTTTACCATGGCAGTGGTAAGGAACCTATAGTGAGGAGGAGTTTGGTGCCACGCATTGTCATACACATTATAATATGTAATGTGAAGGCCAACCCAATCAACACATTCAATTCAGATCCAGTTAGGCAGGCCCTCAATCAACATTGCAGGTGCCTAATATGTGGTCCATGGGCCACATGTGGTTCTTTAAGTATTTGTTGTGTAGCCCTCAAACCTTAGCAGTAGGCAGTGGCAGTGGGATCACTAGTTTGTAAAGGGGCTGTAATGGCAGTAAGCTCTAGCAGTCTCCAGAAACATATGCCCAGTCTTGGACTGTCCTGCAGCATGTCTCCAAGCTGCAACTGTCACTGTAGCACGTACACAGTATTTGACCATTTTCCAAAAGATGTCCATATTCTCGTACAATCTTCTGTAGCTACATATATACTAAATATTATATGTGGTCACTTGGTTATGTCAGGGGGCATAGTCCATGCCTCCTGTACCTCATAGGCCATCCTCAGCTGCTCAAGAAAGTTGTTGGTAGATCTGCAGAAGAGTATTCTATCAGAATATTTTGTATATGGTCAACTTTACACTGATAAGCCACATACACTTATTGCCACCACAACCTCAGTTTCTTATCCTGTCATGGTAACATACAAAGAACGAGACATAACATACGAGGCATAACAAGCTCTTCTTATTAGAAAATTGTAGGTGTCTTTTAATATATCTCTGTAATTATTCCCATTTAACCTTCTACCAAATAAGGGTGTCCTTTTATGAAACAGAGATCAGTGACGATCCTAGGGATTGTTGCTGATCTCAGATCATTAGTGGTTTAGGAAACAGAGATGATCAGCGGAGAACATGTTTCTCCGCTGATCATCTCAGCACACAGATGGATAGTGTATGAAGGAGCAATGTCAGCCCTTCACTAGCAATCTGTGTGAAAATTCTCTCTCCAGATTCTCCAGCCCAGAGGTGGAGAATCGGGGGAACCACAAACAAAGCAGCGGTAATTTACTGCTGCTTACTAAATTGTGTGTTTGACTGATCTCTTACTGTAATCTTGCGAGATTATAGTAACAGCAGCCGTTTTCTAGCTTTCAAAGCATTTGTAGATCACTTCTCCCCTCAATAGGAGAAGAAATCTACACCGCTTCATGAACAGGCATTCAGAAGAGAACTGTCTCCTCTGAGAATGCCAGAGAACTGAGCAGCGGTCATTTACTGCATGATAAAAGGACACCATAGTGATAATCTGGAATAAATGTGTTTTATTTCTTATTGAGTAAATGTGCTGAAATTAATCTACTATGTAATTGACAATTTGCTTTTAACCAATTTTTATTTTTCTGTGAAGCAAAGTACACATTTTTCCACCAACTGCTTGCTTTACCTGGAATAAGGTATATACATTTTAAAATATCAGATACCCCTTTTATAAAGAAATGTGCAATACTCTATTACTAGTCTATTAACAATTCAAACTTTTGGACATTCTCTCACTTTCTGTCCCAGTGACAATGGTCACCCAAGCAAAAAAAAAAAAAAAAAAGAATCTCCCTATTGGGGACAGTAATACAAACTGACAGGGGCTCTAACCCTTCCCCACTCCAGCCAAAATAAAAACAAAATTAAAAAAAATTGGCTTTAAATAATACTCTACACTATGCAATGTAGCTTGGTCACTGACTTGGTGCCAGCCAGCCTTTTGGACAATGAAGGAGCATTAGCTCATGGATGAGTTCATCTCATGTGCTATTCTCTTGGGTTAGCATGTTCACAATGTCAGACTGATAGCACTCACAGCACAGAGTTCTGATTGCTTTAGAGTACTATCCACAATTTATGGGACTTGTACAAACCTATATAAAATGAATGTAAAGATTATTAATGTATACATAGCTGGAACATATTTTCTTTTATATAAGTCTAGATTTAAACTTTAAAGATAAAACTTTTGTTTTATTGATTCAGGAAAGTGAAACACAATGATCCTGTTCATGGATAACATGATTTCAATCAATACTTTGCATTGCTCATAGAAGAAGGATTGAAATTATTGTTCTAGCCTGCACCTGAACAATTGGGGTCTGATTTGCTACTGTTGTCTTTACATCTGTCACTCATAACAGCTGGATGCCAACTGTGATTTTTCCAGTAGGGATTAGAAGACTAAAGCTGCCCATACATTGTTCAACCTGTTGGCTGAACGAAAAAAAAAAATTGAACAGATTCCCCTATTCACAAATTTGAGATGGATGGGGCTCGCCAGCTGTCAGAATACACAGATCAGCACTGCAGCCATTGGCTACAGATGCTGGTTGAGCGTATTTTATGTGAAAGGGTGGTTGAACAGAAATCAATTGGTAGATTAACTTCTGTTCGACTACAGTGGCCAAACATGGATTGGAATTTGCCTGATCCCTGCTAAACCAGCCAGATTTCAATTAATCTATGACCATCTTAAGGAGTCAATTGAGTAATGTGTATATACTGGTGTAATTGTAATAAATATGTCTTTTTTTCTCATGAGAGAAATCCAGTGCATTCTGTGTAGAATATATGACACTGAACCATTGGGTGTGACACCAGCATCTAAGGAATGATTGCTCTCAATCTGACATACAACCATGCATGTGCAGTGCACTCTTCTTCCCCTGTCACAGCAGCCACAGATTTCACTTTTTGCTGTGACAGGGCAGGAACAGCACACTGCGCATGCTTGGTTGTATGTCAGAGCGAGATTCTTTAGATGCTGGGGCATGCCTTAGGTGCTTGTGAAAACAGTTCTCATGTCCTAGATTCTGTGCATGATGTGGTTGATCTCTTTCAATGGATATTTTCTTGCCAAGTTTCAGGGATGCTACGCTTGGCCTACAGGAATATCTTTTAAAGTAAGCTAATTTTTTTCTCCACTGAACAATGCTTTATAAAATACAGAGGTCTCCTTTATGCATTACATTTTATGCAGTACATATTAATACAAATATGAACTTATCCTTTAAGCAAGTCAATTACAAGACTTACGTAAAGAGGTGAGAAAATAACATTTACTGCAAATATCTAATCATTTGTAGATGAAATAAGTAAATGGGAATTTGCTTTTCACATTTCCTGACAAACATTTTCACAATTTTTTTGTGTTAAGATTCTCAACTCCATTAGTAAATCAGCATCTAAAACTTTACTTTCTTATTCAATGAGTTCAATAAGCTACCCAAGTTAGAGTTACCTTGACAAATGTCCCATGTTATGTAAGAAATGTTAACAGTTCGTAATTCAATAATTACAATATCTTATCTCAAGCTGCATTATTAGGAATCATATTGTGTCTAAATATTCAAATTCAATATTTTGCTGCTATTGTGCAGTCCTAACTGAAGAAGCATTTCTCTATGTTATACAGTTATACAGGTCTGAGCACATGGAAAACTTTCAAAAGCATGGCTACTGTCACTTCAATTATTCTTGACAGGCAGCCTTTGCTAAGGTAAATTTTAAATGGAGTTTTTTGATTGAATAAGCTCACAGAGATCAAAATCTAAAAACAGCCCAAGGGCCTGTGTCGACAGACTTTGGGGTTGTGTCGATGGGCAAATTCAACTTGCTTTTGACATCAGTTTGAGATGCTCTGTATTTGAATGTCCCTAGATTAGCAAGCCACACTATATAAACAGCACTTACAAAACACTTAATTCTCTGTTAATTTTTTTTTTATGAAACCTCTGCTCAATTTTATATTTGTAACTCAACAGCCCTGCAGGTGTTCAAATGGAGATATTGAACACTTGCTTACAGGATGTACAGTACATGCCAAAAGGTAAATGACAGCCACATTTAGCTTACTGGTATCTGGGTGGGTATCACTGGCCTATACAATATCTGATATTTATGGTCAAGCTAATGTTAAAGTGTATCTGTATATAACATGTTTTAGCTTTTAATAGAGTAAGGAAAGTGTAAAACCTCACCTATGTCTTATTGGGGAAATGTCCCTCACTTTTTGTACTACAACATGAAGTGATAGTACATTTCTCCAAAGTGAGCTGAATCATCTCTTAGTTACCATCAAAAACAAGTGTCTAAACTGGACTATTTCTCTTCTATTCCTATTCCATGGTAACTCAAAATTTGGGATTTTCTCTCACAGTGACAATAAACGACAGGGCAAATAGAGAGAATAAAAAGAAACAGGGAAAAGCACCTCTAAGTGTAGACTCATAGACAATTTTATTGCTCACAAAATAGGGACCGCACATTTTTCATGGGAATGAAAAGGCTCATCACCGGGAAGGGTCACCAACTCCTGGGGAGAAAACCGCCAAGGTCTCAGTGCATTCAGTTGTCACAGAACGGACAAGTCGGCCAGCAGGCATCCACTCTCTGGAACTGAGGGCTGGAATGTTCCAGCCCTCAGTTTCAGACAGTTCCAGACAGTGGATGTCTACTGGCTGACTTCCCCAGGAGTTGGAGGTCTTTCCCGGTGATGTGTTTTTTACTGATGAGCCTTTTAATTCCCCTGAAAAATGTGAGCTCCCTTCTTTGTGAGCAATAAAATTGTCTATGAGTCTACA